ATTTTCAATGACAGTGGAGCTTGAATTGGTTCAGTGCACCCTTCAAAGTCCTCTACTTGTCACGGCCGGTAAACAAGTGTGGGACAATCATGGAAGCCTGGGTGCCGCTCACGGGCTCAAAATCAGAATATCGACAAGAATGTAAGATTAAATCAGTGCTCTGAAGTATCATATATTTCAGAGTAATGATTTGATCTTACATTCATGTCTATATTCTGCTCACGGTGCTACGCTGCCCTTCCTTATTTCTCTGATCTAGGCTCAAGTTCAGTATCGATGGACTCTACTTACCGACGGTTCAAAATCAGACTTGCTTATTCGAGTGGACGGAGAGGAATTTTATATATGAGTCAATGATTCGGATCGCTGATTGAAAATTGGTCAGAGGGTACAGAAAGTACAGGAGTGAAGCCAGGGACGTTTCGACCATTGTTGTTTGCTTGTTGGGTTGGTTGTTTGTTTGTTGGGGGGTGTTGGGTCGTTTGCTTGTTTTTGGCGTGACGTGTACAGCGAGGAGTGTGCTTGCACGCGCACGGCGCGAGCCGCGGCCTTCAAGTTCGTGGTTTGGAAACCTCTCTCACCAGACCGTCCCGACCTGGCTACGCCCCTGAAGTGGGCAATAGTTACGGTGACGGCATAGAGTTCCGTGTTATCCCGCTCTGAAATGACTCTCAGGCAAAATGAACAAAAAGAGAAAATACCACAAATATGGCAAAAATACCGCTTTCCAACTTCAGGTCTGAAGTACTGAAATATGCGATTAATCGTTGAGAAATAAAAACAGTTTCAGTGTATCCATGCCAGCACATTAAAGTAAGCATACTAGAAGGCCTAGACGTCTGTGAGTTTTTCAATTATCGCGCCGGTGAAGCCAAATCCCTCCGAAATTGGAAACGAGGTTGTTGTTTTGATCAACATGTAAGTTCAATATCACGGTAATTTCCACTGCAGACAGCGGGAATTCCCTTCTGCCCAACGGTTGCATTTTCAACGAGCGCAATTCCATACTTCAGCCGAAATAATCATGTGAGTCACATGAAATTGGTACTAGAGTTTATATAATTCACATTTTCATAGCATCAAGTAAATTTGGTCGATGCAAGAGGATTTTGGGGTAAGTCCGGGGGTCTATTCTTTGGTCACAGCCTCGCCCGCTATGTGTGTTGTATGTGGAGCACATTAACGTCACGGTGAAACTGCTGTAAGCGTAGGGCCACGCCGACTAATACATGGGTAGTGGTTGGTGCAAGCCTTGTGTAGGTTGAACAATACAACGGAGAACGGTTGAACAAGACTTCCTCTTGATGAAAGAAATATAAAAATAATTCAAAAGATATGAATAGCATATTGGCCTACATCTTATGTTTTGACAGGAACAACCTGGGTCTCCTACTTAATAGGCATTTTTTTAAGCACACAGAGAGTATGACTGGGTTACGTACATTGCTACATGTAAATGTTAATTGTGATTATACATGTAGGCTAAATACTCGTCTGTTTCTCTCTTTTTTCCCAGTTATCTTCACCATCATGGAGTTGTTGAGGGTGGTGACATTACTAACGATGTTCATGTGCACACTGTATCTTGATCCCGTTTTGGGTCTTACCGAATCTGATTGCAACAATCCCGCATCGTCTTGTAGTCCCTGCTTCGATAAAAAAGGACACGAGCCTCTATCTACGATTCTTAGAAGGATTCTTTCTATATCGAAGGCCAGACGCTCCAAACGAAGCAGTAAGTGCATATCAATCATGATAAATTGAAGCAGCCATGAAAGTACAGGGGGGAAATGCATTTTCTACATCACGGTGCTCAACTGCAAAATGAAATTTTGATGAATAGAGTTATAATATAGCGTTCAAAACGGCAGAGTTAGCCTATAGAAGAGGCTTATGGGATTTGCTACCATCCACTGCTAGACTAACAAGGTTATTGAATTAAACATACGTGTAGTATCATATTGCCCCTCTGAGAATCTCTCTATTTTGATATGAACACTTTTTCCCCTTTTACTTAAGTTCTACTCTACAATATAAGGGGAAATAAAAGGAAATAAGGATTAAGAAAAATAGGGAACTCTCCAAACTCACAAACAGTGAAGGCGTATAGCTAACATATAACGTGATACTGGGTTTTTGGATATCGGTTTTTGGAAAATTGAAGGCTAAAAGAATGTTCACTTGGTACATGTACATGAATTTGTAAAAATAAATTGGGGCATACAGTCCATAAGGAAGGGAATGATGAGCAAGAAGTGTTACTGGTGCCTAACAGGCCTATATCCGGTCCGCGTTTGCGCTCCTGAGGGTTTTCCCATTTTATTTCCCAGTCACATGGTGATGCGCACATATCATGTGACGTCAGCCAATGTAAAATATGGTGAGCGGAAGTACGTAAACAGCCTGACAGTGACTCACTTATTATGTCCTTTTTGCGATCTCAGATTTTCATGGTGATTTTAAAGTGGCTCTTTTCATTTTTGCTCAAAAATAATTGAGATAAGGAAAGAAATGAATTTTGATTCGTCTGTTTTGGCATTTATCGCGCCGGTCCTTTTGAAAGTGTCGCTTCTTTAAGCTGTTTTCACTCCCTCTCAAGACACACGTAGGTTACTGAGGACAAGACGAGTTTTATTAAATCGAAAACATAAATTTGAAATTAAGGAACTACTGGGAGTTGTTCTTAAGAGCATTCAAACTTAAATTCAGAGTATTTCCTCTCTAACTCTACTCTGAATTGTTTCCTCTATGTACTGGGGAAAGGTTTCGTGCTTGAATAAATCCAGTTTGGAATTTTAGACTTCAGGATATGGTGGTAATTTTGAAGAAGTGTAATTTGCAAGCCCTCATTTTTTAGAGGGAGATGACTTGGGTTCTGTAACAATTGAAACACTGATCAAGTTTTACTTTTCACCAGATGTTTTCCTTCTTTAATTTTTGTGATGGGAGTAGGGTTATGGCCTCGGGGGGGGGGCAGGCCTCGGGGGGAGTGGCCAATGCCCCACCCTTAGATATGTAACTGGAATGAAGGCAGATTCATAACATTTACGAAAATATAAAAAACGTGTTCGTTTAAGTAATGTATGATTTTTTCAACTCATTAAGGCTGTGGCTCGGATGTGTTTAGGTGTACACAATTGTATATTGCAAGATTTCAAATGAGGGCAGCAGTGTGGAAAAACAGGCCTCCGCTGGGTGGAACAAGCCCAATTGCCTTCCTCTCAAAGGTTCAATTCCCCTGCTTTTCAAATTTACCTTCATCGAGGTTTTTATCAAGGCGCACCTAAAATCTTTCAACTATAAAGATGCGTAACAATAAAATTTCCACCCATTAAAGAAAGGTGATTTACCGACAGTGTTCCTTTGAATATTATTCACGATATAGGCTGGCTTGCGGCCTTAGTCAGAAAAAAGAAAAGAAATAAACTTCTGATACTAACAATAATTGGGAATGTTTTGTTTCGGTTGGTTTCCCTTAAGTCTGCATGTTCCTTTTTCTTCGTCCCCGACTTTCATATTTGCCTATTATTTCAACTTGTTGAACACCAGATAATGACGCAATCCCGAAGGACCCGTTTTACGCGACCCCTATAAGTCGAGTCTACTTGCAGAAAGGGCAAACCTATCACTTGCCGTGCGAAGTCCGGCGAGAAGGCGAAGAAGTCAGCGTCCTCAACTGGTTCAAAGAAGACAACTACGTAGCGCGATTTACAGTCGTGCCTGGTGACACTAACTACACAGTGAGCAGTCAGTTTGAATTGTCTGACACATTCGATCTGATTGTCCATCAAATTGAAGAGAAGGACAAGGGAAGATATTCCTGTATCATCATACCCCGCAGAAGCTCTAGAAGCAGGAGAAGCTCCATTGATATTTCTGTATTAGGTAATTACTCTTTCCTTTCCAAATATTCAAATGGGAAAAATTCAACAATCGTAAAGAAGACAAAAGACTACCTTGAGAATTAAAAAAGCATCTCGTATACACTATATGTACTGAACAGACAAAAAGACCAACTTTTAAAATCAAATATTGACTCCGTACTAGTCACATTTTTCCTATTACATTTAATTATCTTAGATCAACTGTTTCCTCTCGTTGACGATGGTTCAGTTCCACAATCAGAAATGTTTGAGCTTGCAGTTGGACAGCAGCATGCAATTTGGTGTCCCGCTAGCCCTCCAGACGAAGACATCAGAAGAGCCACTCTCTATTGGTCTCTTGACAGTGGCAAGGATAATTACACAAGTATCATAGGTGTTAGATTCTCTGACGGAGAAGTCAAAGTGCAGAATGAATACCAAGACAATTATAACATCACTAGCAACAATTCGTTGATTATCAATTCACTGGAAGGCAACCGTAGTCGCTACTGGTGTCACCTTTCCTCCCCGGGATCACAACTTCTATCGGGATATGTTGACGTCATCGGAAAAGGTATTCAATTTTGATACCATTTTTTAAAACAATTCTTTAGTGCATGGGTTCTTCCTTTGTGGCTTCTTGGTCCCAAAGGGATGTAAATAAGTAGACTTCGGCATTTCAAAACTGATTTCAGAAAAGTTTTCTTTCAGTGTTTGCTTTTTATGTTTGTTTTTGTTTTGTTTTGTTTTGCAGATGAAGGGTCTATCAAGGTACCCTTGGTTCAAACTACCCCTGTACCCGGTGGAAAATCAGACTGGATAGCTGGCTTTTTGGGGTCGGTTACGTTTATAGTGATAGTGATTTTTGTCTTAATCTGCTTGATGTATCGAAAGAGAAGACGCAGTCAACGGATGTTCGTCCTAAATGACCTAGAGAAGTCCTCTGTTGACTCTCCTCAGACCCAGGTGTTCAGTGACCCGCAAGGTACGTTTTCATTTTCTTTGGACGAACATTTCGCAAATATTATGTCAAGATTAATTTTCCAGCGATAGACTTACATTCACTGATTACCTTTAAAACAGATTTGCTTTATCCATTCACTTCTTAAATTTGCCATTAGGTTTGGTTTCATTAAGAACACGACGCTGTCAGTTCTGGTCACGGTATAGCCTTATGTTGACTGTTTTCACACTGATTTCCTGTGACACTGTTTTGAGTTCATTTTTTTTTTACCATTTACCATCAGGTAAACATGACAACGAACAATCTCCTCTTTTATCTCAAAACACTGAAGCCATGACAGCACAAAGTGCCGATGAGAAAGTTCTTCGGAATAATGTGATAGAAACTTTTTAATCAACTTCTAAATGTGGAGATGCATTGTTTTTCTCTAAAGTTGAATGCACCATATCATGACATGAGCACGATCTGCTAAAAGACGCTGGTTTATTGAAACTTTTTTACTTCGAAATTATAACTCGAGGGAATCTGTGTGAAAGAGATCTTTAAAAGGGTGTTTGAAATTCCCAGGTGTGCGAATGTTGTGCTCACTTTTTAAAAGAAATATTTCGAGAGGTCAGGTCTCATCAGGAATTCTACTTTCAATAATTCCACAAGTAGGAGTAACATATCAGTTCAGTTGATTTAGCATGTAGCTTTGACAGAAATTCAACAAATATTTCTGATTGTTTGGAAAAGGTCCAGCCAGTTTTTCATCTTGCTAACTGAACTGGACTTTGTTAATTAAGTGGTTGTCAGTAACATGGACGGAGTGCTATAAATTATACACATAAGTTCTACAATCTGAAATGGTGGTTATTTTTCCACTTCCTATTAGTCTCGCTGGATTCTCAGCAGCTCACTAATGTTCATTTCCATTATATTTCCAATATTTCAGATGAGAATAAGCAAGAATCGCTAATTAGTGATAAAGACACATCAGTTACAGCAGACTCATTTGAAGGTGAAGGTGAAGATGATCCTCTGATCATAGTAAAAAGAACGTGACACCAATATCGTAAATTACTCTTACTATATGATAGTTTTGAAATTTGAAATTTTATTTTATTTTAGTTTATACTTTCCCCAGTACTAGATGATGACTTTAAAATAGTAATACTTCCAGTTCGGGGTATTTCAACAAGGCATGCACAAAAAATATTGTATTCAATAGGTATTTTTTTGTACTTTTTGTCAATGTTTTATGTACAGGAATAGTATCAAATAACGAAGAAACCATAAGTACGATGGAAGAACGTTTAACAAAAATAATAAAACAGAAAATAATTATGGGCTTTGTCACATTATTCACACAACGCTGTTACAACTTGTTACAGTAGAACCTTATGTTGGTTGCTTTCCCACTACATATAATTTCCTGCAACACTCTTTTTGCTCTGTGTTAATTTTTTACCACTTACCACCAGGTAAACTTGACAACGAAAGTTCATCTCTTTTACCTCAAAACACGGAAGACAAGACAGCACGAGAGTTAGGTGAGAAGGTTCTACAGAATGTCATGTAAACCATCTTACCAAGTTTAACTGTACAGTGGAATTAGAACATTTCTTTTTTCTCTCTGAAACTGAACGACGAACAACTGTAAAATGGATGTGTGTAAGCCAGCTTAAAAATGGTATTTGGAATTCCCATATCCATCGGTCTGCAAGTGTTTAAGCAAACTGGTTCAAAACCGTTGGCCTCGAGAAGTCGGGTCTGGGCAATTCTACTCTCAATTTCACTAATTTCACAAGTAAAAGTAACTTTTCCATTTCCAGTTGGCATGTACGTAAATGAGGCATAAAATCCACAAATACCTCTGAAGGGTTTGAGAGGGTCCAGCTAGTTAATTATGTCGTTACCTGACCTTGAATTTTTACCTGATTGTCTATTTTTAAGTGGTTGCCAATAACAAAGACAAAGTGCTCTCGATTCTGAACGGATATGACAGTGCTCTGCAGGCTGAAACGGTTGTTATTTTTCCACTTCGTCCAAAACAATCTTGTCAGTTTTCCCCATTTCGCGAATGCTTATTACATTATATTTCTTTTTTTGTCAGATGAGAAAGACACGTCAGTTACAGCAGACGGACGGGAAGGTGACTATGATATTCAAATGATAATAAAACACGTGATACAAATAGCACATTAGAGGACAATTGTTTGTAATCCTCGAGTAATCTTCAAGGACTAACTAATTTAGCAGCGCATGTGCAAAAGGATATCCCCTTCAGTTAAAAACTTTCATGCCTTTTTGGTCGATGTTATAGGCTCGAATGTAGTACCAAATGACAAGGAAAGCGAGACTGCGGTTGAAGCTAACATTTTTCAATTAGTTATTGCGTAATTTTATAGGTTGAAATTCAATTAATATAAAAAAGTGCGTTTATTTTACTCTGACTCTAATAATTAGTTTCGTTTTAAAAAAGACCAAAAAAATCCCATCTAATTGTGATCGGGGATCTAAAAAAACACATTTTATAATACTGCGTTTGAGTTACAGATAAATTTCTATAACTCGACGGCAGCCGCTGTTCAGTTAATTACTTGTTTAACCTTCTTTTCAAAGTAATATCTGAAAATGTAAAATATAATGAAATATATAACTTTTAATCCGGTCTTAAATGATAACTTGAAGTTTTGCCGTGAATTTCTGAATTTGTGTCTTTCAGGGAGTAGTTTACCAGATTCTTCAACTCGAAATAAGAATACATTCTACGTGCTTATCGATAGCTCGTTAGGAAGAATATTGAGACGAATACCGGAACTGCAAATGTCTCCAACTTCTGCTCGCCCCAAAACAAAAGCCACTTCGACTCCAGTGCGTACCGGTACCAAACACCAACCTCCACCAGGTAAGGGAGAATTTCTCCCAATAGCCATTTCTTGTTTGCAATTCCATAAACACTACTTTGATGTTTATTCACGTATATCTATTAATCAATCTAAGTATTGGAAAACTTTGTATTTCTCTGTACTCACAAACAGCCAAAACAAAATCGTCGTTTCCCAAGCCGACTTCTCTGCAAAGCAGGTATTCAAAAGTTAAGAAGGTTACACCTGTTTCAGAGGTGAATACAAAAGGTGCGAAAAGTTCGGACGATGCCGATCAAAACCCAAGGCCTTCACAGAAAGAAAAAGGAACAAAAGGAGAAGAGCGAGGTTAGTACTCTATTTGTTTGCTTTTCATGTAGATTTTATTTCGCTGATGTAAATCTTTATAAAGTTGAAAAAACTTCACAGCTCTCATAGGCTAACTTTCATACTCACTAATAATTGAGATGGCATTGATGTCGCATCAACAAAAGGTGTAATTGGACTTATTTTGTTGGAGACATTGCCTCTATCATTAATGTGCTGTTACGCCTGATAGATACAAAGATGACTGTCCAGGTGCATCAGGTAAACCAAGATAATAAAGCAGGTGGCCTTGATGAGCAGGTATCACTGGATGAGATTGAACTGACACGTAGGAACGACCACGAAAACAAGACAAAAAAGAAGGGTAATGACGAAGGGGAAACATCTGTAAAGGATAAAGGTAAATCGTAAAACTTAGGGGAACGTTGGTAGTTTAGCCAGCAACGCAGATATGACTGTTGTTTCTCCTTGAAATTTTATTTCTATATACAGGCTTTCTTACATACGAATTCATGAAGTAATATGGATATATTGTATGGAGCAGTGTTGATATATAGTATGGAGCAATATGGATATATTTTATGTAGCAATATGAATATATAGTATGGAACAATATGGTTTTATTGCATCTCACTCGGTGGAATTTTGGTCTGACATGTACGGTACCTTTGTAGATACAAAGCAAACCGAGATAAACGACGTCCAAGACAAAAAGGCAAGTGGCTCTGAGCGTACATTACAAAAGAAAGAAGGGGAAACGTCTACCGGTACTGAAATGGCGTCCGAATCGACATCAAGAAGAACCCATGGAAACAAGACGATGGAAAGAATCGATTACACGCACAATGACATGTTTAACGAGGATACCCCCTGTGAAGGAACAGGTAAATTGTAAAATCTACCAGAAACGCGTATGTTATCTGTGTACGTGTTATGGAACTATGTGGCATGCTTAACTAACTGGCAGGTTTACTTTGTTGCTAAAATTATTAAACGCGTAGCGAAACATGAGCCTTCACCGGCAGATATATCTGTTGTTTAACTTTTACGTTTCACTGGGCTTTCATACACAAATTAATGAAGTTATATGGATATGTTAGATCTTGCTGGGGAAATTCTCTACACTGTTAATAACTTGAAGGCGTTAGTTTACTTTTAATTAAATGTTGTTTTGTTTAGTCTTTGTAGGTACAAAGCAAACCGAAATGAAAGAAGTACAAGACGAAAAGGCGAGTGACTCTTCGCCAAAGTTACCAATTGAAAACAGGAAAATATCTACTGAATTAGAGTCTGAATCGATAAATGGCAAGAACCAAGAAAACAAGACGATGGAAAATACCGATGAAAAGGATGCCACCAGTGAAGAAACAGGTAAATCGTAAAGGCTAGGAGAAACCTGCATAGGATTATTTGTCAACCATTGTAATACACTACTAAAAAAAATCAAGGACCACTTTTTATTTTGTGTGTCCTTTTTTACAGCTAAAAACGTGCATCAGTTCTAAATTTTTTTTAAATTTTTATTCTAATATGAGAACACCATTTAGCCATACAAACCAAAAATGAAAGGACTAGACCCCACTCATTGCTTGGAAATTGTTACAAGTTAGGAGAAAAGGGGTCCTTAACTTTTTTGTGTAGGATATTGTGGAGCTATTTTGGCAGGTTTAGCTGACTGACAGTTTTACCATGTTTCGAAATATCCTTCCTCCAGGCTTGAAGACACCACCAGAACAATGCGTCACTGAGAATGCCGATTCCTTGAATGTCTCACCAGGCCCAACTCAAGGGCAAGCCAAACAAAGGAAAAGAGAAGATTACCCAAAGGACAAAAAGCCTGTTAAGAAAAGCAACAAGAGCAATCGTAAGGAGAAAGTAAAATCAAAACCGAAGGGAAAAGTAAAGCCAGCGATGCAAAGAACCTCTCCAGATGGAGGATGTCCAAAGACCGACGATACCAGTACCAAGACCTCGAAGACACACAAGACTGTGCATCGTTCTGATCAAACAGATTTGCAACAGCAATTAGATGATGAGGGAAAAAAAAGTAAGGCTTTGGGGAAGTTACAACATAGAAAGCAATCATGCATTTTCAGATAAAAGCGAGAAATAAGGCTGCTTATTTGCTCTTGACCTGTACATTAGCCGTTATCTCCGATATTTTTTGCTGCGGAAACAAATAGACATTATGGTTGTCAAAGTCCTCCGACTGTATTTACTTCGGTTTCAAAAAGCTTGCATTTTGACCATGTAAATGTAAACTTATACCAGTGAAGGACTCTTTTGCATAGATAGCCCTAGAACAATGTAGGTGATTTCAAAGCACTATTTGGGCAATTTGGCTAAATTGAAATGTCACTAAAGTATCATTTAGTAACAGCCCGTATCAAAACATTATATCAAAATACTGACGTCATGATGACGTCATCTCGTGATTTATTATTGAATATTATTTTTTCCCATAGTCTTTGTACACATTTTGAAGGCACCATTTATGTCTTTTTGAGAACCTTAAGGCGTCAGCAACGTTATACCGAGCAAAGCCCCCATCAATACATTCTGACCGAGAGAGCCCTCTACTTGTTACTGTACATATGCACCTTGGTGGCAACACATTATATTTGCTAAGATCTAGGCACCTGTAGCTGAAAACATTTACAATTGAACTTAATATTTTAGGTATTTCAATCAACATAATTCTATAGCACTATAGCAACAATGTCTCAACTGGATGTACATGTGATTGCTTGAAGTTTTGTACAAAGAAGCTCTCTCTTTTACGAGATTTCTATATGAACAATCCATGTTCTTATTTGTTTTGCAGGCTGTGACACAACCACATCTCCAGTCACTAACTCCACTGATTGGTCACCTACTCCAGTCTGTGGCGTTGATTCTGTTGTTGTAAACACCCCTCAAATTAACACCATGCCCAGTGCTCCCGTTCAGCCTCTAGTAGTTAATGGATCATCACCTGAAGGGCCCAGTGCAGTTTTGGGGGTCTCATTGCCTGACTCTGCCCCACCTGTACCCGAGCTCTCATCTCAAGAGCCTTTTTCTACAATCCCCGCACCTGCTGTTGAGGAAGATATTTTACCATTTTATCATCAACGTACACCCCTAGTGTACGCCCTAGTCTATTCTATTGGCAACACACCCACTGAATCTTACAGAGGTCCGCTCCCTGACGTCTCCCAACCCCCTCCATGTTCCGTATTAAGTGATAATGAATCAGTGAACGTGGAGAATAGCACTGGGAGTGAAGATGCCGAAATGGCAGAGGTGGCAGAACCTCAAGGTTGGTGTAGTTGTATTTGAGTGTAAAGACACTTGGAAGAAATGAGACCTTTTGGCGTGGTTGGATTCTGCCCCTTAGGCCTAAACGGCTTTCAGTCCAAACCCTAAGAAAGGATTCGTTACAGTTTTTTTTTTGGTACCAGCACAAAGAAAATGAAAATTTTTAAAAATGACGCGAAATGGAGGGGATTAAAATTCTTTCCAGCTAGTCATTACCAGAAATTGATTAAACAGCCTATGAACCCATTTTTGACGCACATTTCGTATTTTTGTACCATTAAGACGAAGAGAAAATGGAGATTAAATCAGACAAACCAATTCACCGTAGACGAAAGACGCACTACCACAAGCAAGAGACTGTAATTTTACTCACACGATTCAAGTTCGTCAGTGCAACACAATTTCAGCCGGATTTCCTAGCGGGAAGTTTTGTAGTGATCATTTCGCTATTCGATACGCTCTCCCTTTTTCAACGAGATTTCTACATAAACAATTGATATTTTTATTTGTTTTGCAGGCTGTGACACAACCACATCTCCAGTCACTAACTCCACTGATTGGTCACCTACTCCAGTCTGTGGCGTTGATTCTGTTGTTGTAAACACCCCTCAAATTAACACCATGCCCAGTGCTCCCGTTCAGCCTCTAGTAGTTAATGGATCATCACCTGAAGGGCCCAGTGCAGTTTTGGGGGTCTCGTTGCCTGACTCTGCCCCACCTGTACCCGAGCTCTCATCTCAAGAGCCTTTTGCTACACCCCCCTCGCCTTATTTTGAGGAGAACGGAAGTTCGTCGTCCTATCAACATGCTAATTCCCCAAAGGATGGCCTTGATACAAATTTCAATGGCAACACATTTACCGCAGCTGATGGAGGTCTGTTCTCTGACATATCCCAACCCCCTGGATGTTCCCTTCTAAGTGATGGCGAATCAGCAAGCAGGGAGAGTAGCACTGGAAGCAAAGATGTCGAAATGGCAGAATTAGCAGAACTTCATGGTTAGTGAAACTGTATTTGGATGTAAAGACTTTTTTAATTTTCTTATTTTATTAATTATAATTTTTTATGTAATTTCGAAATGAGACTTTTTAACTTGACACGTGGTTGGATTTTGCCCGTGACCAGTCTAAAGCCTTGGGAGAGGATTTGTTTCAGTCTTGTTTAGTACCCGCACATAATAAATTACTCAGTTGAAATAACTGCAAGTTTAAAACTATTTGAACTCGAGTAAGGGTAAAATGATGGGCGTGGGTGGGGTTGAAATATATTTATTGCCTATCGTAATCGTAATTCGATTGAAGGACTATGGGCCATTTTCATAGCACATTTCGTAATTTTCTACCTTTCAGACGACGAGGAAATGGAGAGTGAACCAGACGAGCCAATTGATATCAGACGCAAGACGAAGAGGCCCCACCAATCTCAAACACAGAAGTTGCTGAAAGCTCTCAACCCGCACAAGCAAGGTAATGTTTGAAGTGCTTGCTTTAGAAAACACACTGGCGATTTCAGGGGCGTGGATTTGAATCCACAAGTTGGGAGGGCGGATGAAAACGTGAGGCCGATCAGTTAGGGAAGTGATATGAAACCCTGAAGGGTTTTCGTATGCCCACAATGGGCATACAGAAGATTCTATGTTCCAGCTTTCTTTACAAAACCCGGGCAGGGTACATGCATACGCCTATAGTACCCATTACAAAGGTGTAGGTGCTTTGTTAAAAACGAAGCTTTTGCCCTAATCTACATGTTTAATGTGCTGGTTTGACCTTTGTTTTTACCGAATATGCGAGCGGGGTAAACGGGTCTATCACAGAATTTATTCAGATTAAATCCGATTCAATTTTCGCGGGCATGACCGATTTAACGATGCTGAACATTTATTTCACCATTCCACAGATGACATTCATCAGAAGCGGCATCCTAAACCACAGATCGTGTGAGCAAGATAAGGCTGAGAGGAAGCGTTAGCTTTTAATTTTTATATTAGAAATAATGTACCATAAATGGATGTCAATCACTTTCTGCTTTGTGATTCCTCTGTATGCATACACTTGGGGCGCAGGTCACAACCTACTTCCTCATGTCTTGTAGGATGTACAAGTATTCCTGAAAGTCTCCTGAAGCAGGGTAAATATAGGACTTAAAGTGATCACTTTATTCATTGTGAGAAATAATTGTAGTCTCTTTCTTTTTGAAAATCATTACTTTAAAGGCGAGTTTGACATAGTTCTCTTGTATATAGATAACAACAGGCATTTGTCTTAAACTTTATATGCTTCTTCAATGTTTGACACTTCCTAAGCATTCAAAATTGTCCGCAATTGTCCAAGCTAAGTGAGGGCACTTTTGCTGTGACGTCAACCAGGAAAAACATGGTACACTGCACATGCCCTGATTGTGAACTGTAAAAAAAAAACAAGGAAGGGCTGCCTACTTTGTTGCTGTTTACTTATACGAAACTAGTATAAAAAAGAGAAATTTTAGGCTAGTGAAATTTCAGTATTATTGAGGTGTTTTTCCCCGGAATGAAATCACAGTTTTGCTTACGAATATGGAAATACTTTTTAGAATTAAAACTAAAAAGGCGGTATACCCTTTGAAATATTGAAATATAATTGAGAGTTAGATTGACTGAGACATCAAATTGTGTTTTGGAGGTTTGTATATACGTAGACACCGCCATTACAGGTGAGACATTGGTATATAGGTCTCTTAACGTTAATGGGCCAAATGCAATCTGACCTTTTCTTTCATCAGATCTGAACTGCACTGTTGAAATTGATATAAGAGAAAATGTTAGCAATGTATATTTCACAATCTCATGAATGTATTAGGCCTAATTCTGATATGTATTATTTTGGAAGTGAAAAAACCTATATTGCGCAGAACTGGTCTGTTCACGTGTCATAATGTGCTTGTCATTAAAGGTACACATCGCTTAGAATTTATTGTTTCAGTTAACTTTACGAGTATTCGAGTCTGGGTGAAACCAACCTTAAGGAAACCAAATCACGCGGCCACCGCTGCTTGGTATGCTTTCTCCATGAGTTATGAGTCTAATCCATTAAACTAATCGCGCGCTGCACCTGCCTGTTCCCGCTCTGCAGGTTCCTTTTTTTTCCTGCTTGCAACACATTGCACAGTCAAAACTGAAAATCAGTATGTTGCTAGATGGGTTCTATCCAAAGACCTCGAAGTGTTTGCAGTACATCATTAAACCCGTTAGGCCGAGAAAAATACACGATGATAGCATTTGTCCATAAAGGAGTATAAATTGGAATACATTTCACGTTTCCTCAAACTAGCAAACTTTCGTTTTAAAAAGAAGAGTGGCAAAACAAACGAAAGGACCTTCAGCTTGAACTCATTCCGAAAGCGAAATTTCAATCGCAGAATAGCAGGATATTTCGTGGCGTGGAAACTGTGACGGGCATATCATGGACGCTTTCACATTTTTTCGTAGCAGCATGGCACAACTGGCTGTTAATGACGTGCTTTTACTTCTTTGGTGTTTCTTCTGTTCAGGTAAGATGATTAAAAAACTGGATCAAGAAAAATGGTTACACTTGATCATTTTCTATCAGTATGCACATGTGCCAGTGTTTATGTAAGTTATCCTCTAAATTTGAGCTACGCTGATTTGATGATTTGTTTGGGCTTGGAAAGCATCAGTTCAAGATTATAATGATGCAGATTAAATCAAAACTCGAATAAAAACATCACAGAACTTGATTAGAAATTACTGCTTCATACCATCTCCATGTTCTTTTTACCAGTTTCTGCATGGACGGTGACACTGAGTGACGAAACTCATAACGTGTATTATGAAGAAGATTCGGAAGCACGATTTACATGTGCAGTTACGCTGGAAGAACCTAAGAAATGTAGGTTTTATGCTACATGGTATTACGAACACGGCATTCTTAGAGATCGTTCACTGATGAACATGACAGAGAGCTCCCTGAACACAACACTCTCGAGGGAAAACTTAAAATTGACTTGTAGCGTGCATACCGGTCGTGGGGAACAAAAGAACGCGTCGTTGGATGTTACTGTTCTATGTAAGTTGTTTCTATCACTTATCACCCTAAGTGGGATTTCTTAGAAAGTTCGAACAGGACTCAGTAGGAATAGAGGGTTTGTAAGGCTGCATTCTGGCAGGCCAGTGCTTTTGATTCGCAAGGTATACACAAAGAAGGTTTCCCTGTGGAACAACAGAACTACCCTACAAAATGGCTACCATGCAAAGCCTCTATACTGTACTCCTTGCAAATTAAATATAGCACCGGTGATAGCAACATTCTTCTGACTCCAGTATATTTCAGGGTTTGATCCTCAGAAAACATGAGGAGTATGAGCCTTTTCGTATTGTTAGTCCTTTAAGTGACATTTGCAGAAAATTGCTCTGTACGGTCTATCAAGGAGAAAAAATAAAAACAAACCTGACATGATTGGGATTTGCAGTCCCAGCAGTTCCAATTATAAGTAGGGATTTCCTCATTTAATTTTAATTTCAGATCCACCAAGCAGCATCACTATTGAGATGGACTCTCAACAGTTAACGGACAACGATACAGCTACTGTGATGATTGGTCGTCCCTACCGATTCACTTGCAATGCGTCTGGTTTGAATCCTGCTAATCACATGATGTGGTTCATCAAAACACAGAATGGAGTGAAGCAAGCTGAGCCATGTTGGAATTCATCACGGCAGGACAAGGACAGGCACAAGGACAGGGACGTGTCATGTCAACTCGATCTTAATATAACCAAATATCACAATAGAGTCGTTTGTAGAGCACTATATCCGGATGGCAAACCGTGTAAAGACATAACGGTGAATCTGCTGATTCAGCGTAAGTAAAACATGGCTGGGGCCTAACTAAGTACCAAGATCACTTTTCAGATAAAGGGGAAGATATCTTAAGAATACATAAGTATTGGTTTAAAGGTTTGCGGTAATACGTATAGAGCACTTTATTAAGAAAATGAGTTGTTAGGTTTAATTAAAGGTGACTAAACTAGGCTGTTCTGCATCTACAGAGGTAGGAATTAACAGGAGGTTTTTGCATTTGGCCGACGTCTTTTTTTTAAATTACGTAATTAGTAAAATGACGATACACATTAGATCCTGTCCACTCTTTATTGTTGATATTACTTTAAATATATATATTCTTAGATTTAAATCATTTATTCTCATTATTCTAGATGAGCATCCAGAAACGACGACCCAGGATTTAGAAACCCTGTCCCCTACAAGGTCTCACATCAGTGTTATAATTCCAACGACATCATCTGTGGTCATCTGCGTAACCATAGCAATAGTTTTCCTGCTATTAAGATGGCATCGCAAGTACGCACTGAATGTGAGGGAGACCACAGCGTCAAATGAACTTATTTTAACAGTACGTGTCTCTTTTGAAAAAAAAAAGGACCTGCCAAACTATGAATTGTTGTTTAATTAATGGTGCATACTGTTCAGTCGATTGTCATAAATGCTATTTGGACTGAGGAAGAGCTTCTGATGCATAATAGGTTGTTTTGCGGGATAAAATTGGAAGTGTTATTACATTCCACCCAATTTTGATTTACTAAAATGTACATTGATTAATATAATTTTTTGGTGCACTCCTAATTAGGAAGACCCTGCTCCCACTGGAGCTGCACTTAGTACTTCCAACAGGTCGAGGCATGACTACAACTTTCCTCGAGGAAAGATCACCCTCCTTGAGGTGCTAGGAAGTGGAAACTTCGGTCAGGTCTACCATGCTACGGCAGATGGCATATACCAGTCTGGGAGGAAGTCAGATGTAGCAGTCAAAATACTCAAAAGTAAGACGTCCGGTTTCATTCTCTGTCTTTGTCTTAGTGGTACGCTAAAGTCCGCAGACTGATACCAAGAATAGTATCCAAAGCTGAAACTTTAAACTAAAGTGATTTGATTAAACAGAAGAACCCTTTCAACGTACTGCTCCAATGCAACAGTGGTGCAGAATCGTTCTATTCTCTTCTCTGGCAATCCAGGGTCGGCGGATGCTGACGTGGTTGAGGATTTCAAGAAGGAAATTGCAATACAGAAGGATTTCACGAGACACCCCAACATTGCATCAATGCTTGGATATTGCATGGAAAGAGGTAAGTGCACCTTGGAATTTTGAATTTACAGGACATTTTCATTATGGACATTGTTTGCCTGGAGATTTTGTGACTACAAATTTTGAATAAAACATCAAAGTTGGAAGTTATTCGCCGTGTAACCAAATTGAATTTGTGTCATTCTGTGCTAGTATAGGGTCATACATTTAGTCAGAGTATCATGAGCCTTCCTTTTACGGATACGGTAGCACGGATGATAAACAGCGGAGGTCTCATATACACGACGAACTTTCAGTTACGTTTCCTGTGAACTGTCCTTTTAATTTACTTATTAGGCTAGTTGTAGTTAGCGGAAGTGTATTTATAGGGCATGATAAACCCCCCCCCAAAAAAAAAAAAAAAACGAAAATCGTACTTGCAGATTACTGAGTTGTAATTACAAAATCGTATGCAAGGATGACCATTTCGTACACATGGATTACTAACTCGTAATCAGGGATAAATTAAAAGCACAACGGCTTTAATCGGCCACATTAGTTGACCGCATGAGAGCTTGCATGGAGCAGGTAATGAAGTACAGGTGCCTAGCTATCATGATCTCCAGTCGTGTTTCTCAACTTATGAGTTAGAAACCCTCTCGTATGGGCGATGGACTGATTCCATGCCTAAGAAATAGTCATCCATACGTGCGATATAGTAATCTGTTCTTTCTTACTAAATCGTACGGAACGTTGGAACGTAGGAGCTGTTGAGACATCGTTAGAAAAAGGAGTTTTATGACAGGGAAGGGCATTAGCACACGTACATAAGTGGTCGTCTTACACTTTCACAGTCAAGAGAGTAGCCATTTTAGAGCTTTCAGTTCGGAAACGAGTAAGAGGATCCACTAACACATGATCTCATGGGATTCAAATATGCAATTGATGGCTTCCATGCAGGAGATGTATATCTTGTGTGTTCAGCTCCAAGATGATACCAAACTATTCTTGGCACTTGCACGCCCCACGAACAAATGTTTGCCCAGTGCCGATGACATATCTTTCGTTTGCCGAATCCATTTCTTACAGAACCTTTCTACCTGATAATGGAGTATCTTCCAAGAGGCAACCTGCAGAAATACCTAAGAGGAAGGAAAGATGCTTGGCGTGATAACACCACAGAGGGTGACATTCCTGCTTGTCCCTTCCAACTCCTAACATTTGCTTCTCAGGTTGCTTTTGGCATGGACTTTCTATCGACTATGGGGGTACGGAAGTCACAACATTGAAAAATGAGAGAATTAAAGTTCATTAAAGTTCGTCACGGAAAAAAGAACAATGTCATCCTGTTTGAAGCTTGTTACATCCTTCCATTTTTCTATTTTCTTACACTGAACATCATCCCTTGCCACGCCCAAATATTTTTTGTATTATTACCAAATTTCGATACTCTGAATTCTGAATGGCCCTCTTTGCAATACACGAGGAGATAATGAAATGGTTTGAGCGATTGCTTGGATTTCTGCAAAGTGGGAGTAAGCACCCAAACAAACAAACAAACAAACAAACAAACAAACAAACAAACAAACAAACACCCCAACAACCCAACAAACAAACAACCCAACAAACCAAACAAACAAACAAACAACACAACAACCTTACAAACAACCAACCAACAAAATAACAAACAGAATATCTCCGTCATATACGAAGAATTGTTCCGATGGGCAAATCGTAATCAAAGGTCACGTCTTCTGAAAACTATTTCTTGTTTCTCTTGCAGTGCATTCATCGTGATCTTGCAACTCGCAACGTTCTTTTAAGTGAGGACTTAGTCTGCAAGCTGTCCGACTTTGGGTTAGCGCGCGATGTATCAGAGACGGAACAATACGAGAAAACTTCCCTGGTACAGTGACTAGAATTCGTAACACCTCGCAAACATTTGAACTACTGAATCTCAAACGCTTGCAACAGGAAGGCTGTTTAGAATTTTTTTCAGTGACTTCATGCTAATGCTAACTGAATAGTTTACTCGTTTGTAATGTGAAATTCCAAGTCAGGGGCATTCGTAGGAAGTGCTGACTATTTAGGAGAACATAGGTCAAATCCATGTATTTGAAATTGAATACCCCGACTTT